ACAGAAAAAAGGGTTTTGAGGTTTTGGTTTTTCTAATTATATTGTTATATAGTATTACATAGGTGGTTGTTGTTAGTTGAGTATGATATGCTGGAATTCTTATTCTCATTTTTTTTTTCTAATGAAATGGAATAGGTAAGAGGAGGTATATGCAAGTGTTCATATGTTTTATTCATATGGTATAATTGTTTTTTAAACTCGTATGGTATATATTAACTAGTATGTAACCCATGATACACATGACAATAATTATAAAATGCATGTATCAAAGCAATGAAATTGATAAGTATAGAAATAGTTTTATTTAGTAATATTAGTTTTTTATTTAATTTTATTATACATAATAATTTAATATATGATTTATATGTTTATTTCACTCGTTATGAAGTAGTTTTTATTTTAGGGTTTCTAATTATAATTAAGGATATTGAATTTAACATATTCAAAAAACGTTATCAATAAAGATTACTCACATAATATTTCTCTCTCTCTCTTATTTTTTTTTCCGGAACGATAGATAATATTATAAATCAAAATGCACAAATGTGCGAATACACAGCAGCCAACGGCTGAATTCACAGCAGCCAACAGCTGAAAAAGTGGGAGGACAGGTCAGAAGACCGCCTAGAATCCCTACTAGAAAGGTTAGAATAAAAAACACTCAGCAACTGACGAACCAAGTACAAGACTACAAACACAAACAAAACTAAAACAAAACTAAAAAGACCCCAACGGGGTAATACCCGAGTGTCGGTTCCCAATGGGATAATAAGGTGACACCCAGGCTCACAGAGACCCAATGGTCCAAACCTAAAATACAGACAACACAGACAAAAGAACAAACAACAAATAAAAACGAAACTATAGACTAAACAAAACGAAACCTCCCTCAGTGAACACATCGAAAAGACGGAAGACGAAGCCAATTTCGAGGAGAGCTCCGAAGCCATAGTATCATGCCCGCCACTGCAGAAGGCCAAGCAAGACGAATACTCAAGCCTCCGAACAAACCAACAAAATCAACCCGCACACCACCGTAAGAAATCACAGTCGCCCCCCAACCGGCTAACACCACTAGGCAATCCGCACCCGACCCAATTTTGCCTAACACCACTAGCCAACTCCGGGAACAGACGGCCTCCCACAAACTCAGAACCGAGAAAGGAGATGAAGGGGACGAATGACCTCACAGCTCCGCCGTTCCGATCTTGCCCGAAGAGACGAACCTGCCCGAACCACCACCAAACCACCGAAACTACAAGGATTCAGCACGACCCAAAACCTTAGAAAGCCAAGGGACCAAAAAGTCGTCGGCCAAACTGAGATCCTGCAACCGTGACTACCTGTCAGCCCGAAAGAAAGAGGCACCCGGTCAAAGCTCGAACTCTACCTTCCCCACCCAGCCTTCGAGGACAGGCTGCTGCCGCCCCCAGCCACTCCAAATCGCCGGCGGTGAGAGAGTCGAAAAGAAGCCATTGCCGACAACTAGGGCTAGGAAGGGGGAAACCAGAGCAAAGACGGGGCAGCAACAGAGCCGCGTCTGGCAACTTTGCCGCACTCCTTCTGTCCTCTCCACCCAAGGAGTTCCGGCGAACATCCGACACGGAACGAGGGAACCCGCCAAGAGTCGCCATCTTCACCCCTCGGCCAGAGAGAAAAGGAGGAAGAGCCGCGAGAAGCGGCGTAGACACGCGACGGTGGGCAGTCCACCGGCGAGCCGGATAGACGCCGAGAGAGAGAGGATTAACCGGCGATTAAGGCTAGATTATCGAGAGATTTGTGCGAGAGATTTTTTCGATCAGATATTACTTTATGTCTCTCTCTCTCTCTCTCTCATATCTTATTACAATATATTATATCGATTTGTAAATAAGTTATGCTAAAGTTGAAAAATCGCATCAAATATTTAATTAAAAAATATTATATGTATATTATTTTGAATTTACAAATTATTAATTTTTAATACGTCAATATTATTTATTTTTTTCTTATAACTTATAATAATGTAAATTATAAATATTTCAAATTTTCTTTATAATCTAATAATTAATATGAAATTTATGATGTTATTTTGAATCACAATATGGATTTTTACAAAAAAATGGTTCGGTGCAGTTATTAATCAAATCAAAGGATATTTTCGAATCCATTGAATAAATAAACTTTGATATATGACTCGTTATCTATTTTCTGCATGGATTTGCTATTAATGTTGAGATATTTATCACATTTGTTGTATTGTGGTAGACATGTCATTAAGATTTTCGCAATTGATTTCAAAATTTATTTTTTATTTATATTTTGCAATGTTCTCAAGCATATTTCAGTCTACATATGGTTGGATGCTCAACAAAGCAGGAGAACACATGGTTTATTATTAAAGATAAAGATTGATTTGTTATTAATGATAAACTAGTACAGATCCCGTGCGATGCACGGGGTGCACAAAATTAAGGTCATTTATCAAGTCTTATAATTATATAAATGAATAAATAAAATTGTACGGGATATATATAGTACGTGACCTGTAATAGGCCAAAATGTGAACACGGGTGATGCACCGGGTGCACAATTTTGAGGTCATTTATTAGTACAGAGTCCGTGCGATGTACGGGGTGCACAATTTTATAGTATGTATAATACAAATACATACCGTATGCTCGGGACAGAAGCACTAAATGAATTATTTCCACAGAGCTTGCCCGTTAAGTAGCTCCTGAACACGGTTGCACAATTTGTAGTACGTACTATAAAATCCGAACAGATTTCCATACAATTAGATAATAAATAAAGCCTTTTTTTATTTAGTAAAGATTTTACGTACTTTTTTTTTTACTTATCGGATGTTATGAGATTTTTTTTGTAAACCGATTTGATGGGATATAATACAAATACAATTAGAGGATTGAACAAAATCAGAACGGATTTCTATACAATTAGATAATGAG